CACAGTTGCCCCCACAGCCCCCGCCCCTGGCTGGGCCCCCCGCAGTCCCCACGCTGGGTCTGGGCTCCTGGTCCTCAGGTCACTGAGAGCTGAGAGATGAGCGATGACGGTGCAGCCCAGGGCCCGATTCTGTCCCGGCCCACCCCGCTCTCCTCTTATTGCCTTTTGTTTCTTCTCATCTTATCACAAATTAGGGGGGAACTCAAGGAGGCCAAGGGGAGGGCCCTGACCCCAGGTGAAGGCACAGAGCCCAGAGGACGCAGCAAGAATTTTCACAGGGGACCGTGGATGGCATCAGTCCAGGTAGTTCCTAGAAACAGGCAGAGCCAGAGACAGCCAGTGCCCCTGGTAAGGCGACCGTGGCCGTGATGTCCCCATACTGGCCCCCTGCTCCTGTCCTGTGGACCCGGTTCTCTCTCTCATTTTCTCATCTAGACAGTTACTCCCACCTGGACGGCCCCAGCTGGACAAGCTGAGGCTCAGGTCAAGAGGACACAGGGCAGTGGGACAGGAACAGGGTGGACAGGAGCAGGCTGGACAGGAGCAGGGTGGACAGGAACAGGGCAGGCTGGCCTGGGAGCCTGGTGCATCCCGGCGGGTCAGCAGGAGAGGAGCAGGGTGAAGTGGCCCAGAAGCCTGGCGCATCCTGGACTGGGCACCCACAGGCCTTGACCACCAGCCCTGCAGGGTCCGCACGAGCATCTGTACCTGGGAGTCAGCATCAACATGTGGCCCAGGACCCCGGTTAACCCCACTGTCTGCACGGGGCTCCCCATGGCTGATGGAAGTGAAAGGGGCAGTCTCAGAGCCCGGAGATTGTGTACGGATGCACGAGCTACTGTGAGGATAACGTGGGAGCTCTCGCGGATTCTCCTTCTCCTGGCGGAGTGCTTCCTGTGAGTGTGTGTGGACACACGGTGTGGGCACAGGAACAAACCTTCAGCTAGGAGAATGGGCAGTATTTTCTCCCCAGCACCTACAGGCAGTGAATGTTAGGTTTACAACTTCTGAGGGACTACAACTGCACCCGTTAGAGACAAACTGAAATGCAGACAATTAGAAGTGTCCCTGAGGGCGGCGGGCGCCTGCGTGGAAGCTGGTGGTGCAGCTCCTCGTGGCCCCAGCTCTTCTGCGCAGCCTGGCCCGGGCAGCTGCAGGTGGGAGAAGCGGGGCACACTCGGGATGGCCCTTGTTTTGCTTGTCTTTCCCCGGGGCCCATGGGGGAGGTCAGGAGTCCTCATCCGGCCAGGCCTCACGCCAGCAGGATGCCCTGAGGAAGGAACACAGGGTCTACAGGGCCAGGGGTTGCTCCACACGGGGTAGCCTCCGAGGAAAGGTCTCCTCGAGGGAATCAGTGAGAATCACGACATCCCATTCCTCCAGGGCAAGAGCCTTGCTGGCTCCCCACCTGCTGTGCTTGACCCCAGGGAGAAACTGAGGCAAGCTGTGAGAGGGCCTCTCGGGACAGGGAGAAGGTCTGAGGCTGACCTTGCGGTGACGGGGGAACCAGCCACGGCAGACGGTGCCCCCTCGGCTGCCCTGCACAGTCTCCCAGGCAACCCAATGACAGCAACAAGTGCTGGGAGCCCAATTTTAAAACAGACACTTCACCTAAAAATCCAGATTTCTGACTTGCAGTGACGCCTGATCTCAGGGCCTCCCTCTCTTCCTTAATGAGGGGCGGAGATTCCAAAGGCCACGTGTCTTTTCCAGGACATGGTGTGTGCTGGCCTCGTCTTTCTAGATCTGGACCCCAGCGCTTCTGTTGGCATCTTGGGCCACAACCAGGGCGATGTCCACCCCCAGCGCAGATGAGCTCAGCGCCTGCAGCCTTCCGGGCCCAGAACTCTCAGGACCCAGGCAGAGGTGGGGCTGGAGGATTTCTGGATTCTCTTCCAGGCCCACAGGTGCAGGACAATCCATTTTGGAAAATCCTGTTGTTAGCGTGAGCATTGAGGACTCGGCAGAACTGGCACGAGGACCCCCTTCCTCCCGGGCTTCTGCTTGGCCATGGTCCCCAGGCCCACACGAGGGGCCGACCAGCATCTGGGACGGGTGGTGGGAGCTGAGGCTGCCCTGCAGCCCTCCACGGGGGACTCTCTCCCCATCCAGACACAAGTAACACCTCCTGTGTACAAGCGCCCGCGGGACGGGAGGAAACTCTTCAGCGAGAGCAAACTGGCTTTCCTGGGGACCCCGGTTCAGGGGTTGCTTGTTGGCGCTCAACAGGACACCATATTCAGAGGAATCCCCGAGGTATCAGCTTCTCTAACCCCCAAAATCCGAGCTGGAGCCGGGATGTCGGCCCAGGTGGCCTCGCAGGTGCCATTTCGTGGCTTCTGGCTCCCCCTTCTGGAACCGCCTGAAATAACAGCCATCTGCAGTAGCAGGACCCGCAGCCCGGGGTCGGGGGGGTGCCTGGTGTCCCCTCTACGGCCCAGGACTTACGTGCTGGGGACTGGGGCGGGTGGGGGGGCTGCTCCTGAGTGGGACCGAGTGACTTGCTCAGTTGTGCCAGGGGGTCCTTGGAGGTGGTGACCCCAGCGGAGTCCCTGACCCTAGGAAGGGTGCACCTGGGCCTGCCCGTGACCGTCACAGAAGGGAGGCAAAGCCAGCTTGTTTAGTCCATGTCGGGGTCTTGCTACAGGCTTCTCTGCTGGGCCCGCACAGGAGAGGAAGGCACTGGTGGCCGTCGGGGGTACGGACTTACGGGCTCCGGGAATGCAGTGCGGCCCTCAAGGCATGGCCGTCACTGACCTGGAATCGGATGAGACTATGGAAAACAGTGGCGAATCCTCACCCACCCGCCGCCCCTGCTGGGCGCTGGCACTCTGCTCTCGTCACCCCAGAGCACCAGGCCCCCGTCTCGGGTCTGAGCACGAGCTGCTCTGATGACAGGCTTTGCTTGTATCTTCCCACCCTCGGCTCCAACCTCCCCTTTCCAAGGAGTCTCCCAAGGCTGCCGGCCCTGCTGGTTCTTCCGCAGCACTTACCTCCCTGGGACCAGCTATTCCGGGCGGCGGACAGGACCGTGAGGGTCACGCCTCTACACGTAAACCCAGAAACATGGGGCCAGCACAGCACTGGATGCTCGGGGACGCTGCCCATCACACGCAGAAAGGAGGAACGGGCTCCTCCTCCTGCAGCACCGCCAACTCCAGACACGCAGAATGCTCTCCCCAGGATGGGCACCCTCCTGAAGGGTTCTGGGGCTGTACGGCCGGCTCAGAATTTCTAGGGCTGACACAGGTCCAGAACCTAAAAAGCAAAGAGGTTACACCACAAGCCGGTAGCCGGTGGAAATACAGCCTCTCGCCTGACCTCAGAGCTGGTTCCTGAACTAGAGCTGGAACTGGATCTAATGCCCACCTAGTGACCCTTTAGTGGGCTGTCATTTTCTTTAATCCAGCAGAGAATCCATGTCACAGACCCGTTCCGACTGCCTTGCTGCCCGTCGTCTGCCAGGAACGCCCTGTCCGTCTCGTTTAACCCTCACAAGCAGCAGCCCCTGTGGGGGTGATTTCGTTTACGGGGGAAAAGACCCCTCCCTCCTCCCGTCTCCACCTACCCCTGACACATCTCGATTTCTTGAGAGGAGTCTTCAACCGTCTCCTAATCAGGATCCAACTCATCTAAGGCCGGTCGTTTATCTCAAAGCTGGACTGCAGTGTTATTCCCAAAGGCTCAGGGGTTCAGCTTTTCTGAGGTTATCGACAATGTTATCAGTCTATTAGTGTCACAGGTGGGTGGTTTATTTGTACAGGTGCACGGGGGAGCAGCCTCTGATTTGCACTTGGCCTCCACCGCCGAGGCCCGAGTGTGTCCATCTCCTGAGCTGCTGGCTGTGGACTTAAGATTTCTACCGTCCCAACGTCCCTAACGCAAACTGCTCCGGCAGAAGCGATACAGACACGTAAAATCCAAGTCAGCCCCAGCCAGGATGTGACTTCTGGGCAACACCGACTTGGTGCACAGAAGGGAAAATCCCAGGCAGCCTCCGGCAGGGACCAGACGCGCTGGTGTCACCGAGTGGACACCAGCGACACCTTGTGGGGACGCAGGAAATCGCACCCTGGCAGGGCCAGGCCCGTCTGGAAATTCAGAACGCTCAGGACGGATGACCCAGGAATTCCATTCAAAAGGCGCTGCTGCGGCATGGGGAAGACTGGCAGCTTTATTGCTCTCTGTGGCTATTTTCTCCTCTGAAAAGCTGCGGGGGACGGTAGGTGGGTGCTGGGCAGCCCCTCCACTGGTTGGTGAAATGCCCTTGGAGCCCCACACACACAGCTCAGCCAGGATTTCAGGTGACAGGGCCCACCTTGATGGGAAACGACGCGGAAAATGAACAGGTGAAACTCCTGGCAGAGGCTGCAGCGCCTGCGTGGTAAATACAGAGAAACTCTCCTTTGAACCAAGAGGGCTGGTGTTTGACCAACTTCTGCTGAGGCCTCCAAGAAGGGGCATTGCTGCAGGCGGCACAACACACCGGTTTCGAGGAACACCCCAGGCACAGGACACAGCTGAGGAAATGAACTCCTGGCCCCAAGAACCTTCCCAGCATCACAGAAGCGAGGGGTCTGGCTGGGCGACACCACGAATGCAGCGTGGCAACCGCACAGGCTTTCATCATCTCAACTGGTGCGTGTTTCCAACCAAGTAAACTAGGAAACCCATGACCAGGCAAGTGGGCTCTCTTAGGGGATGTGAGTTTTACAGGACAGCTGATTTCTACCTATAGAAATGGTGTTTGAGTGTGATTTTGCAAATATAAAAAGGATGAGAAGGACACGCGTGCTAGCAGCAAAATCTCTGGGCAATGATTTAAGTTGGTGGCTGCAATGGAATTATCTTCGGAAACACCACTGTTTGTGCGACTTGCCTTCAGAACGTGTGAGGAGAACAGCTCTTTATGTGAGAACTCAGTAACTCGAGTGTTTTTACTGAAAAGCGAAATGTGAGTATAAAGCGAGGTGTCTTCAGCAAAGGGCAGGCCGTCTGTCTGAGCAGGAGCTGCAGCTGGTGTGGACACAGGCCTCCGTGGAGCCTCAATTTTATTACATTTGAGTAGGAATGACTGTGTATTATAACATCAAAGAAAGAATTTGAATGTTAGGGAATTGCAGAAATTAAACTTTCATTCTAATTCTTAGAATGCCAGAGTAAGATAAACCCTTTACAGTAACAGTAAAATAATTTGGGCTCATTTTCAGTAGAAACTCAAGCTGCTTCAATATGGAAATAGGATTTTGACAAACACAAAAGAAGAAAGAAAAGCAGGGGTGAAGCCCCACACTGAGAGGGAGAGGCCGTCCTGGCATCTGTGCCCTGGGCTCGCCTAGCAGGGTTGAAGCCTCGCACTGAGAGGGAGAGGCCGTCCTGGCATCTGTGCCCTGGGCTCACCTGGCAGGGGTGACGTCCCTGCACTGAGAGGGACAGGCCGTCCCGGCATCGGTGCCCTGGGCTCGCCTGGCGTACCCTCCCTTTCTCGTGGTGCTCGCTTGGTAGAAATGGCAAACCCTGTGTCCACTGGAAAGGGCAGAAGGTGCTGGGACCAGCCCGCTGGGGGTGCACAACCCCTTAGGAGGCCAGCTTGCAGTAGCTTGGCGGAGACAGCTTGCGCCTCAGGTACTTGAGGACATACAGCGGGAGGCAGCTGACCATGGTGATCGCCGACACTTTCCACAGGAAGGCCACGGTGGTGATAAAGGCAACATCTGTTGGCAGGAAACAGAAAAAAAGGTAAGAGCCGACAAGAAGCCCTGGGCCCTCATGGCCACAGCCATGACCTGGCCAGGCCACCGGGCGGTCTCAGCTTGCCACGGAACTATCACCATACATTTACAGGAGCCCAGCTCCAAATCTCAGGTTTTCTTGACTGCAGAATTGTTTGACCTGCATACCGGGCATAATTCATTCTTCTTTTAATGGAAAAAACAAACCAAAGCATTATAAAGAGATTGTAGGCCAGGTGCAGTGGCTGTAATCGCAGCACTTTTGGGAGGCCAAGGCAGACAGATCACTTGAGGTCAGGAGTTCGAGACCAGCCTGGCCAACATGGGGAAACCTCATCTCTACAAAAAAGACAACAAAACATTAGCCGGGCGTGGTGGTGGGCACCTGTAGTCCCAGCTACCGGGGAGGTGGAGGCAGGAGAATTGCTTGAACCCAGGAGGCGGAGGTTGCAGTGAGCCAAGATCGCACCACTGCACTCCAGCCTGGGTAACAAGAGTGAGACTTCGTCTCAAAAAAAACAAAAACAAAAACAAAAACAAAAACAAAAAACGGGTTGCAGATGACTAATGTCACCAAATACCACTAAATGGGTAGACAATGCTCTGTGGCAGAATCTGTAAAGGCACTGAAGCACTGAAACAGACACCAACTCACCTAACCTGTGGGAGTGGTTTGGACGATCTAGGCTAGCTGTTTTGGTTTTTGTTTTTTTAAGGTAGAGTTGACTTTATGAGGGGCTGGGGGCATCAGAGGGCAGCCGGCAGTTCCATCTGCAACACAAATGCTCAGACCGGTCTGTTCTTAGAGGCTCTGAGCCCGGCCCACCCAGAGAATGTTCTCGCCTATGACCCTCCCAGCATCTCCACAGAAGAACCATGTACTCACCATGGCCGAGCTGTGCTGCTAATGACTAGGCCACTTACATTCCTCACAAGAAGAGGAGGTGAGAAACTGGATATTTACATACTTCGAATCTACATATAGTGGAAATTCCTTTAGACTGTTGCCGGATGGGATAAAAAGATCTATGGAGCAGAGTTAGAGGCCTTTGTAAAATAAATGACAGAGGGAAGTGCCAGATCCCTGTATGAAGGGGAAGTCCTACGTTTGTGTGTACTCATTTTCTGAAGACCCTGGAAGTGTTTTCCAGGAGCTCAGCCCCTACAACTGAAAAGGCAAACATGTTTTAGGGACTCGTGCAATCCTTAGCAGATGGCAGGGTGCCTGGCCCCTTCCCTTCACTCAGGGCCACCAAGCCCCCAACAGGCAAGCCAGCAGCACTCAGCCCACAATGAGCCAAGTAAGCACATGGCCACCAGCTTACGTGACATCAGAGAGTTTGTGAGTCGGTTTATTTTTCTGATTAGTTAAGTATCTTTATCAATATTGTTTGGCTAAATTTCTACATCTTTGAAAGAAATGATAACTTTACCTACCTAAGAAAGCTCCAAAAGACACTCTGCCTATACCTGTTCCAAAACAGGAATAAAGAAAATAAAGGACAGATTAAAGGAGATACCGGGTATTTCAAGGGGTTAGCAAACGAATAAGAAACACATTAACAGCAATAAAATGGCAGGTGCAAGATGCGTTTTCAATGTGGTTTTAACCTCTCATTTCCCTGCCTGTTACCATACAACTGTTTAAATATCACTGAAACCCAACAGTTAAGTTTCCTGTGTCTGAGAAGCACACACCTTGGCATTCCCGAGGAGACAGAGACCTGTGCAGGTCTGAGGAGCTCACCACAGAAGGTGCACATGCTGGAGGGCTGGCCACGTTCTGCAGGTGCAAAAGGAGCTCCGCACATTCGTTCACATGTACCTAAGCACGTTACTACTGATCTTCACACCCGTTCCTAACGGGAAGTGATACCATCTCCAGTTTGCAGATGCAAAAGCTGAGGCTCAAAGCGGTGGTGAGTCCTGCCCACACCTGTGATGTGTCTTTGTCATTTTGTGAGCTCACTGTGGCACTTAGCGTGTTCACGTGTCCCTGAGTACGTTAATTCATGATCATACAGGAAAATATTCTAAAAGCCGATTTTCAAAAGAAAAATAACTAGGACATTATAATTAGAAAATAACCATTTCTTAGAAGCCACAGGTATTTTCTGAGAGTTCTTTTATGTAAGAACAGGAATATTTCACATTTTCCTCTATAGAGGTTCACCACTGCACGAACACTCAGGCACTGAGATGGGGACAGGTGCACACGCGGCTCCGTGTTCACTTCCCGCAGGCCCGAGTCCGGCTCCGTGTTAGCCGGCAGGTCAGTCGAGCTCCGTGTACTCTTCCCGCGAGTCGAGTCGCCCTCCGTGTTCGCTTCCGCGGGCGAGTCGCCTCCGTGTTACTTCCGCGGGCGAGTCGCCTCGTGTTACTTCCCGCGGGCGAGTCGCCTCCGTGTTACGCTTCGGCGGAGTCCGGGTCGGGCTCCGTGTTCGCTTCCGGCAGGTCGGGCCGGGCTCCGTGTTCACTTCGGCAGAGTCGAGATCGGGCTCCGTGCTTCCGGCGGGTCGAGGTCGGCTCCGTGTTCGCTTCCGCCCAGGTCGAGTCGGCTCGTGTTCGCTTCCGCGGAGTCCGAGTCGCCTCGTGTTGGCTTCCCGCGGAGTCAGTCGGGCTCGTGTTCGCTTCCCGGCGAGTCAGTCGGCTCCGTGTTCGCTTCCCGCGGAGTCGAGTCGGCTCCGTGTTCGCTTCCCGCGGTCGAGTCGACTCCGTGTTCGCTTCCCGCAGGTCTGAGTCCCAGCTGCTCGGTGGCTGTGCTGCTCATGTCAGGGGACCAGCCAGTGACCAACAGGGCTCAGCACCTCCTGTCAGGGGACCAGCCAGCCAGTGACCAACAGGGCACGCACCTTCTGCAATTGCAGGGACGGTAAGAGCAGGCACTTTCGTCTGGGTTTTACCATGATCCACAACTCCGAGTCCGGCTCCGTGTTCGCTTCCCGCAGGTCCGAGTCCGGCTCCGTGTTCGCTTCCCGCAGGTCTGAGTCCCAGCTGCTCCCGAGTGGCTGTGCTGCTCATGTCAGGGGACCAGCCAGTGACCAACAGGGCTCAGCACCTCCTGTCAGGGGACCAGCCAGCCAGTGACCAACAGGGCACCGCACCTTCACCCGTGGTGCAGGGACGGTAAGAGCAGGCACTTTCTGATACGGGTTTTACCATGATCCACAACTTAACGTATTCAGAAGTAACAATAAGAAAATGCTTCAAAATCATGAATAGACAATGATTCAGAAAACAATTCCAAGGCAACTTACCAAAATATTCATTGAGAAAAGCGAGTGAGGACACGTAGCAGCCCAGGCTGAGAAACTCGGCCACCACCATCAGCCAGTGCCATGTGCGGACGGTCAGCGCCACCATCAGCAGCTCGGTCAGGATCAGTGCGGTGAAGGAGATGGCCACCACGTGGACGAACTCGGACTCGAAGAGCACCAGGGCCCCGTACATGAGGATGCCACCTGAAAAACAGCAGGAGCTTTTTCCACGCACACGAGCAGGGTGTAAGCAGCTAGAGGAAACAGCCTGGAACCAGCAGCCTCACCAAAGACCCTTAAACGTAGCAGATAGGCTGGGCGCAATGGCTCACATCTGTCATCCCCGCACTTTGGGAGGCCGAGGCGGGTGGATCACGAGGTCAGAAGTTTGAGACCAGCCTGGCCAACATGCTGAAACCCCATCTCTACTAAAGATACAAAAAAATTAGCCAGGCGTGATGGCGCACACCTGTAATCCCAGCTACTCAAGAGGCCGAGGCAGGAGAATCGCTTGAACCCAGGAGATGGAGGTTGTAGTGAACTGAGACCACGCCACTGCACTCCAGCCTGGGCAACAGAGAGAGACTGTCAAAAAAAAAAAAAAAAAAAAAAAAGGCAGATAATTGTCATGCCCATGCTTCATGCTGATGAACAAATCGCTTAAACTCTGGATTATGGACAAGAGATTATGGACAAAATAAGATGGGATCCCAGCTAGATCAGTTAGAAATGGCAAATAGAGGCTGACAAACGTGCTCATCTCTGGATGCAAAGCCACACCTCTACTACCTCTACTTCAATTAGTGTAAAGAGTTACGTGTTGCATGTAACTAATAGATCTGATCTGTTAGTTATGCTTTCAACAATCTCCCATTTATATGAACACTAAACAAAGAGCAGCTAATGGCTTCTCCTTACAGAACTCAGATTCCTCAAAGTCTTTTCATCACTCTATGAAAGAAAGCCATTGTGCAGGGTATACAATGTGGTAAGCGCTTGTTAAAATCTTTCTGGATTAACATTTAATTAAAAACTAAGTCAGTTTTTGGGTGACATGCATCAGTTAAAAAAAAAAAAGGGCCCATGTTGCTGGAATATCGATTGACAAGACAAACGGAAGGCAGTATTTAACTGCTGGTGACATTTTAAGCTGTTGGAATTTAATCTGCAAGTAAAAACAGTATTGCTAAAAGACCACCAAAATAAAAAAATTCTTTAGTCCAGTAAACTAAGGATCCCGTCTTACCTTGGTAAATACTGATTAAAACCCAGATGAGGAAGGTTTTGAAGGACAAGGATCTTCCCTAGGGAAACAGTGGAAGAGTGTCGTTAATGCACGGAACCACCTGCTTGACTCACAGACCCCGAGTCCACAAGCCCCACCCATGCCACCCCAGCCACCTGGTCTACCAGCATTTCAGGGTGCCTTTTCCTGACACCCAAATCCTGAAGAAGCTGCCTGGGCCCCACACGTGTCCACTGGTGCCTGAGGTTAGAGGTTCAAGTTCTCTTCTGTTTGACCTGCCGTCTTGTTCGATGTTTAAGCCATAGTTCTAATAAGCCAGGAGTGATGTATACAAGCAAATATTTCAATGAACCAGGGGGGAAAGGCTCTTGGCAATAAAAACATTTTCCTTTATTGTGAACAAATACTTCTGTATTTACTGTTTAGTTTTCTCAGATCAAAAGATACAAAAGGTAACAGCTCTTCAGTAAGGATGGCACATCCTAACTGAAGTAAAAAATTATCCCTTAAACCCTTGTTGGAGAACGTGTCACATCCATAACCCCACGTGGATGGAATGGGTCCTTGTGCCAGGCTCTTCACTCTGCGAAGTTGAAGGCAGGTGATGAGGGGGCCGGAGGCAGGGGAGCTCTGGCCCACAGGGTTGCTTGTCCTGCCGCACCCCTGAAGATTAATTCACAGTCCAAGAAGAGAGGCTGAGTCACTAACAACCGCCCTGACTTGTTGGTGCTAAGGAGCTGTCAACAGTGACGCATGTCGCGAGGCCCTGTCTTGATGTGAGGACTTCGTTTACTTGACACCTTCGCGTCTATTTTCTCAGTTATGCAGGGCAGACGTCGTTTCCATTTACAGACAACGAAACTTGAGAAGTTCCGTGATTTCCTTAAGTTCTCGCTGGAGGCTGGGGGTGCTAAGTGTCGTCTGCCGATCAGATCCCAAAGTCCTACCCTGATTTAGAGCTTCCCCATCCACAGGGGAGATTCTCCAAAGGACAGGAAGTGGTTTAAAGAGCCACAGAGGAAAGACAAACCCTCAGGGAAGCTCAGGGGACACAGAAGACAGCAGGGAAGATGGAGGACGGTGACAGGCTGTGCTCAGGGCCCGTCTGACCCCGCACCTGCCTGAGTCTGCTGAAGACCTTGACACAGGCAAGAGCCATCACAGAACAGAGGCGCGGACGCTGGAACTGCGGCTATATTCCTGCAGGAGCCCACCAGTGGCAGATTTACTAATTACCATTCTAGTTGTAGTTTAAATATAAAAGACAAGTGTGGTGACGTATTAAGTGTTTTCCTAGGTTGCAAGGGTTCGTGTGTGAAGATGCTGACAGAGCCTGAGCCCTTACCACACGTGAATATGAAAAGGAAGATTCAAACTCACTGTGATTAAAAAGCACTACTGCTGTTTTTTGTTTGTTTATTTTTTGAGATGGAGTCTGGCTCTGTTGCCCAGGCTGGAGTGCAGTGGTGCGATCTCCGCTCACTGCAAGCCCCGCATCCCGGGTTCATGCCATTCTCCTGCCTCAGCCTCCCGAGTAGCTGGGACTACGGGCGCCACCACCACGCCTGGCTAATTTTTTGCATTTTTAGTAGAGACGGGGTTTCACCGTGTTAGCCAGGATGGTCTCGATCTCCTGACCTGGTGATCCGCCCACCTCGGCCTCCCAAAGTGCTGGGATTACAGGCGTGAGCCACCGCGCCCGGCCAAGCACCACTGATTTTTAAAAAGCAAGAAACTTTTAAGTTGAACCGTTTATATACTCTAAATAAGTTCTCGCGGTACATATTTCCCAAGGACATTTCTCTCCCTGGGTAATGGTAGGTGTTTGGTCTTTGATCATGAAATTCATCTGTAATTAAGTACCTGGCTCATTTTAATCAAAAACTGTAAAAGGAAACTTATTTTGACATAAGAAAGAAAAGGCTATTTTGTGGCCTGATTTGCTGGAGTGTATTCAGTTTTATTCACGTGGGACAATGATGGGCGTCTACGTGGAAAGATAAAGCGGCGTTTGTGCAGTCTCTCTTGTTAGGGGCTGCCAGCAGGGCCAGCACCGCAGACCCGCACCCGTGGGCTGTTCCATATCGAAGCAGACGACATTATAGATTAATAAAAGCAAACACAACAGAACGGGTACAAAAACCATCAATAAAATAGTTTGAGAAAAACATGCGTACATCTCCTATTAATGGCTCCCAGACTGTAGCTGAGAACAAAATCCTGTTATATTTGATGGTACAGACACGTTACTCAAAGAAGCAATTCATTCACTAAGGGTTTCATGTGACGGACAAAGTCGCTCTTCCTGGGCCAGGTACCACTTCATCTGGTTTAGGAAGAGGAAGCCGTCTGTCACTCTGACTGATGCCCCCGTATGTGTGGAATACCTGGAGTGGGGTCCTGCCTAGCACACGCCTTCCTGCTGCATCCTCGGGCTCAGGACTTAATCTCTGTGCCTCAGTTCCCTCCTCTGTGAAATAGAAGTAATAGTGGGCCGGGCGCGGTGGCTCAAGCCTGTAATCCCAGCACTTTGGGAGGCCGAGACGGGCGGATCACGAGGTCAGGAGATCGAGACCATCCTGGCTAACACGGTGAAACCCAGTCTCTACTAAAAAATACAAAAAACTAGCCGGGCGTGGTGGCGGCGCCTGTAGTCCCAGCTACTCGGGAGGCTGAGGCAGGAGAATGGCGTAAACCCGGGAGGCGGAGCTTGCAGTGAGCTGAGATCCGGCAACTGCACTCCAGCCTGGGTGACAGAGCCAGACTCCGTCTCAAAAAAAAAAAAAAAAAAAAAAAAAAAGAAGTAATAGTGGCATGTGGCTCACGTGCATGAAATAAAATGAGCCATGAAATAAAATATGCACAATGCCAGCAGTATAGTAAATATTCACTGAATGCTACTGTTATATTTACCAATTAAATATTATGGATTCAGAAAGTATATTTCTATTGTACCAAAAAACGTAAACAATAAAATCAAGCAAAATTTTTTTTTTTTTTTTTGAGACGGAGTCTCACTCTGTCGCCCAGGCTGGAGTGCAGTGGCGCAATCTCAGCTTATTGCAACCTCCACCTCCCAGGTTCAAGGGATTCTCCTGCCTCAGCCTCCCTAGTGGCTGCGATTACAGGTGTGCACCACCACGCCCAGCTAATTGTTGTACTTTTAGTAGAGACGGGGTTTTGCCATGTTGGCCAGGATGGCCTCGAACTCCTGACCTCAGGTGATCTGTCCGCCTTGGCCTCCCAAAGTGCTGGGATCACAAGTGTGAGCCACTGTGCCCGGTCAAATCAAGCAAATTTTAAGGAAAGATTGACCCACCTTAAAGTCATATGCGCACAATTATTCGTTTGGAAGGCTCAGGGCGGCGGTGCACGGAGCACGCTGATGCGTGCATGACATGAGACGGGGTCCCTCTGTGTGGATCGGCACTGTGGGATGAGACCAGCCCCTCCAAAATGCCAGGGCTCCTGTCCTGAGTCTGTAATCACTGTTCTCACTATTACAATTTATTCTCCTGGCCTACCTCCACAATATACTTTCTCTGAACCCTTTTTTTTTTTTTTTTTGAGATGGAGTCTCACTTTGTCACCCAGGCTGGAGCGCAGTGGCGCAATCTCAGCTCACTGCAAGCTCCACCTCCTGGGTTCATGCCGTTCTCCTGCCTCAGCCTCCTGAGTAGCTGGGACTACAGGCACCCGCCACCACGCCCGGCTAATTTTTTGTATTTTTAGCAGAGATGGGGTTTCACCGTGTTAGCCAGGATGGTCTCCATCTCCTGACCTCGTGATCTGCCCGCCTCGGCCTCCCAATCTGATTCTATTTTTTTTTTTTTTTTTTGAGACGGAGTCTTGCTCTGTCGCCCAGGCTGGAGTGCAGTGGATGGATCTCAGCTCACTGCAAGCTCCGCCTCCCGGGTTTACGCCATTCTCCTGCCTCAGGCTCCCGAGTAGCTGGGACTACAGGCGCCCGCCACCTCGCCCGGCTAGTTTTTTTTTTTTTTTTTTGTATTTTTTAGTAGAGATGGGGTTTCACCGTGTTAGCCAGGATGGTCTCGATCTCCTGACCTCGTGATCCACCTGTCTCGGCCTCCCAAAGTGCTGGGATTACAGGCTTGAGCCACCGCGCCCGGCCCAATCTGATTCTTAATAGAACAACAACAATAAAAAATTTCGCCTGTTCCCATAATTGTTGTTATTTGAGGGAAGTTTGGGAGTGTGGAGTAGAAAGATCCTATAGGCAGATACAAGAGGAGAAAAAGATGCAGCCAAAGTGTATCAAGAACAAACCCTACAAACAGAGAGGGAAGGACGGTGCACATGGTGGCGCTGGGGAGAGAAGCCCCAATTAACTGCGGCTCTGCACGTGTCTCTGGCCTTGGCAGGAAGGGAGGCTGGAGAGGAAGAGCGGGTTTCCTGCCACTCAGCGCCCGGCCTGCCCTGCTCCTGAGGGTGTGGAGGTCCTGCAGCAAAGGGGTGGGTAAGCAACGTCCCAGCAGCTCCTCTGCTTGCCAGGCTCACTCCACTGTTGCTTTTCTTTCTTCTATTAATGGTCTGAAATTATGGTGACTGATTTCTTCAAGGTCTCATTCCTTCATTCTTACGTGGATAAGCTTAATTTCATTAAATACAAATCACAGAATACAAAATGAACTTCAAATATTACTGGACAGAAAGTTGCTGAACAGGTTAAACGCGAGCCGCCAAGCAGATAGTGTGCACCTAAATGGGCTTGCTGCCGCGGACTGGTCGCAACTGGGCCAGGGCCAGGCGCAGACACGGGCTGGTGATAAACTCCATACTTTGAAGGATAAGACTGCAGCATTGCAAACACAATTCTGATTTTGTAGAGACAGGGTCCTGATCTATTGCTGAGGGATGGAGTGCAGTGGTGCGATCACAGTTCACCGCAGCCTCCACCTTCCAGGCTCCAGTGATCCTCCAGTCCAGGCAGCTGGGACCACAGGCACATGGTGCCGTGTCCAATTCTGTTCATCTCTCCTAGGAAAATTGAAGACTTTCACGGCTCTGACTCTGTTTTGTTTTGTTTTGTTTTTTGAG